TAGTACTGAGTTGTCTACAGAGCATCAACACCCACTGTGCAGAAAAGGCTGGGGAAAATTTTTTTCCCAGACAGGAGAGACACAGAAGGCCTCTGACCTTCTGGAACTTATTAAGAGGTGCGCTCTTAGATAAAGGCAGGCCATGTGGCCATCTTTTCCAATTTTGCTCTGCTGGATTTGCAAATCTCATTTAATTCTGTGATTTACAATTCATCAAAGCCCAACAGAATACCTTTAGGAATGCAGTGGAATGGGCTGTGTCTGTGCCACTTACAATCTAGTCAGCAGCTATGACCATTCTTCCTAAATCCTTTTTTCTGTCTGAAGGACCTACTAATACTGGGTCACAATGTTTGGCAAGATACAAATCTGGGAGGAAGGCAGCAGTCCTATCAGGAAGAGGAAATAAGTTCTTCCTTCACTTAGCAGAAATGGGGAGAAAAGAGAGAGGTGGAGAGGCAGTATGCAGCAGAGGAAGCAAGGCTTAAGAGGAAGATGAAATGAGCGGTTAAGAAACATGCATAAGGGTTGGGATTGTGGCTTAGTGATAGAGCACCGCCTAGCATGTGTGAGGCAAGGGGTTCGATCCTCAATACCATATATAAATAAATAAAATGAAGTCCATTGACAACTAAAAAAAATATTAAAAAGAAAGAAAGATGCATAAGCTGGGTGATGTGGCATAAACCTACAATCCTTGAAACTCAAGAGGCTCAGGCAGGAGGATTTCAAGTTCGATACGAAATTCTGCAAAGTAGTGAGGTCCTAAACAACTTAGGGAAACCCTGTTTCAAAATAAAAAAATAAAAAGGGCTGGGGATGTGGCTCAGGAGTTGAGCACCCCTGGGCTAGTACATGCTCCCCCTCACACACAAAAAAAACATGCATAAGAAAATGAGTCACTACTCTTGTTGTCAGTTATATGACAGCCAAAAAGTAAGCCTGTACAGTCCCCTAGTGACAGAAAATGGTATTGAGAAGATTATTTAGACACCTCAGTGAGATGCCTTGAAGTGAGGAAAGAAGAGAGAATTGGAATAAGCAGCAGTGTCCCAGGTGTAGTGGGCATGCCTGTAATTCCCGCAGCTTGGGAGGCTGAGGCAGGAGGATCACAAATTCAAAGCCAAATGAACAAACAAAAATAAGCAGCAGTAAGATTATATATCTACTAAATAATTTACAAAATAACTTTCTTCCAGCAACATAAAGTTCCTATTTCAATAATGTATTCAAAAATACATGAGCCTATATAGATCTGATGGTATCAATATTATTAATCTCCTACTTGATCCCAAGGACCAAGTGCTCAAGTAAGTGGATATTAAGTTTCAAACAGTTTATGATTTAGTTTAAGGCAGGCATGGTGATGAAGACCTGTAATCCCAGATACTCAGGAGGCTGAGGCAGAAGGATCTCAGATTCAGGGTCAGCCTAGTCAATTTAGGGAGATCCTCTTTTGAAATAAAGTAAAAAGGGATGAAGATGTAGCTCAGTGATACAATGCATGTCTAGTATGAACAAGACCCTAAGAGTTTGATCCCCAGTACTTAAAAAAAAAAAAAAAAATTAAGTCAAACTCAACAGATCTACCTTGGATCACTCTTTCTCTAAGATTTCAATTAGCAACATAATATTAAAGGAAGCAAAAAGTGGAAGAGTTTGTTTCTTTTGTGGTAGGAAACAAGGGTAACATAAGTATGTGTATGAGGAGGAAAAGGAAAGATAAGAGATGTAGAAAAGTGCACAATATGCAAATACATATGGTGAAATTTAACAACAGAGACAAATTCTAATCTCACCTCTCTCAATGAAACCAACCATCTAAATTATAGATTACTTCTCTGATGAGAGGAACCTTTCAATAATTTAGTAAGTACATACATCTGAGACATTGTGTATGATACAGACTACCAAAGTACAACCAGTCAACAGAGGTCCACAAAAGAAAATCTTTTTTGGTAAGTAATAATTGCTGCTATACTTCTTTATTTTTGTTTTGGTTCCAGTGCTGAGGATGGGACATACGGCCTCACATAAGTTAGACAAGCACTCTACCACTGAGCTATACCCTAGTCCCACCAAGACAAATAGCTAGACAGAGTTTGTTTGTGGTCAGAAGGCTGCAGTTCTCTAGGAAATATGGAAACAAAAAATAAATGCTCAGTGTGGTTTATGAGATGAGAAAGTAAAACTAATCATAAATTCTATATTCTTTGAGAAAGTCCTAAAACGATACAAATTTCAAGGAGAATAGTTTAAGACTCAATAGGAACAGTAGGTTAAATCTTAGCACCTGCAAGAGGGCTAAAGGAATCAGAAAAGATAGCAAATTATAAAGTGTAAAGAACACTGACCTGGGGAAAATGACCTGAATCCTGGTTCTAGCTCCTCCTCCAGGTGAGTTTGCAATCTCTGAAAACTTGAATGCTATCTTTCCTTCACTTTATTTTTGCAACATTGGGGATTGAACCTAGGGCCTCACACATGCTAGGCAAATGCTCTACCACTGAGCTAATACCTCAGCCCTTTTAAAGTTTTGAGACAGATGTCCCTAAATAAATTGCCAGTTTGGCCTTAAATTTACAATCACTCTGCATAGGCCTTGCAATTTTTTGTGATTATAGGCATGTGTCACCTGATAGCTGTAAGATATTTCTAAGATTTAGTTTACAGTCTGTACACTGTAACAGTTTACAACTATTATATGAAATTATTTACTTCTAGAAACTAGGTAGGGATTTGAGAAATAAGAAAATGTAGAAAAAAACTAATTTTTCTAATATTTTGGGTAAGTTTTTAAAATTACATTCAAAAGAGTGGTTTCTATTACCTATATAGAACACCAGTACAAAAAAGAGGAATTAGTAACTCATCAGTCAATTATAATTATTAACTAAGGTAGCGGATTTTAAAAGGTACTAAAATAGCTAGACTGTTTCTAGGGTTAAATCTTCCTAAGCACAAAGATGAAACAAACAAAGTGTCTGTCCTTATTAGCCAAGAAATATACTAGAATGCTTTTAGCTCTGTATTCCTATCTACCATTACTCCCTTGACACTGGAGCACCATAGAAACATTCAGATAGAATTTCCACAGAAAAAAGATGCTTTCCAGCAGCTCTGTCAGGGGATATATGTCCTTAGCCATCTGCGGGAACCCTTTGGAATCTGAAGAGATACACAAATTTATATAAAATGAGGTGTTTATAAGCAACAAACTATATTACTAATAACAAAGGGGAATTACCACATTTATGTGAAAAGCAAATAATCTTTTCTGATGACAATGAACTTTACTTTCCTGTCTTGAATTCTTTATTTTCCTTTATAGTCACTGCATTTCCTTTCTAGTTTTTTTGTTTGTTTGTTTGTTTGCTTGTTTGTTTTTTTAGCACCTCTATACAGATATTGAGGAAAAGAATACCTGGATCTAGTTTACTCCTAACAGAGACAAATGTGCCTCCACGCCATGAATACTAATACAATGTCTATATTCTTAAAAAACTGCAACATAAGTTTCTGAGGGACCTACAAAAAGCACTTAGATCTTTGGGTTTCATTTGCTTCAGCTAAAAAGCATCTATATTTTGCAATTGAACGTCTGGTAGAGCATTTTGATAATAAAAGATAAACAATATGAATAAATAGATGAATGACTAGCTTCATATAAGTAAATTTTCAAAAAAGATTTTTTGTGTCAGAAATAGGCAAATTAAGGGCTGGGGCTGGGGCTCAGTGGTAGAACGCTCGCCTTGCAAGTGTGAGGCACTGAGTTTGAGCCTCAGCACCACATAAAAAATAATAAAATAAAGCTATTATGTTCATCTGCAACTAAAAAAAAACTTTAAAAAAAGAAAGAGGCAAATTAAAGTACTAATAAAAAGCAGATATTAATCTTTCAAAGAATAACGGGATTGTTGGGTCTGAAACATATTCCCATTCTAGAAAGGGCACTCCTGCATTACAGTCATTTCGGCTGTGGATAAAGGTAAAACGGACAGAAGACGTCAAAGTGTCACTTTCATTACTTGATACCTATGTAGAAAGTCGTCTCCTTTCCTGGAGTCTGAACAGGTTTGATCAAAATTACACACAGCTATAAATCCACATTATAAAATCACCACATCAAATCCTCAGTGAATATCTTCATTTTACCCAACAGATACAATCTACCACTCAAAGAAAGGTGAAATCACTTTTACCAAGAGCACATGATTGGAAGAACTATGTTGTGATTTTTCTAACCTCACTTAGAAGTTGGCTCAACACAGAAGTCTTCTAATAAACCCTATGGCTCCCATCCCTTCAAGACGACTGACCACTCCTCCTTCCATCTGAGGCCTCCAAGGCCCGTACTGCAGCTCGCTTGACACCTTCCCGTACTTCGGAAGCCTCGGGCTTCACCACACCCTATCCCAACTAGATTTCTTCTATCATACCAACAAACAAAACGTCCCTGAGCTGACAAATCAGGGGCCTAACTAATCTCGTTTTCCTCAACTCAGAAGCTAAAGTGTCCTCACAAATTTTGAGTCTCATGAACCCACTCCTTTTACTTGGAACGTCTGGTGCTTGCGGTGACCCTCGGCTTCCACTTCCCCAACTAGCTCGGGCTCTCCTAGCCATTTCCAGTTATCCGTGTCAGGGTCTCTGCCGGACTCACACTCAACCTGTTTCCTGTAGGAGCGGTGGAGGTCAGCAGAAGGCCCACAAGATCTCCCAAGAAAACACTGGGACCTAAACTTGCAGGGGCCCAGCGTTTCCCTCGCCCCTCACTCTTTCACTTGCCCACGCCTCAAATTCCCGGTCTCAACTCAGGCTCCAGGACCACCTCAGCCAAGCTCCGAGCATCTCCGCCGCGGCCCCGGCTCCTCCAGCTTCCGGGCTTTCTCTTCAGTTCTGCTTCCGGCCCTTGGTCTTTGGCCCCGCGGCTTCCCGGGCCTGCGCGCCCCCGGACCACCCTCGGGCCGCCCCCGGCCCTCCACGCCTCGGGCTCTCACCGCTCGAAGAGCAGCCTCACGGAGAAGAGGCCCGCCGCTAGCGGGAACACCGAGAGGATGTGTCGGGCGCGCGGGTAGCCGTAGCCGTCTCCCGGACCCTCCAGATCGGCCCAGCTCACGTTCTGAGGCAACCAAAAGCGCTCACTCCACAGCCAGCCCCACAGCAGGCCCAGGGCTCCCGCCGCTGCAGACGCCATCTTACGCCCGCCCCGCGGCCACCGCCGCCACAGCCTTAGCTACCGCCACTGCCAACGGAACCCGCGGAGAGGCGGTCCTGGGGCGGGGCCCAGCCGGCGGCCACCCCCTTCCGGCCCCTTCTTGTCCCCTGCCCCGCCCAGCCGAACTCCTCCGCAGAGCAGGGCCTTTTCTCCGCCCATCTCGCCTCCCCGCCCACCTACCTCTCCACTGCGGGCTGGGGCACTCTCCAAGGGTCCTTGCCCGCCGGCCCTGGCCACTCCCACAATGGCCACGCCCATTCGCGCCCATGCAGCCCCGGCTCCACCCACCACAGGCCCCTTAACTCTGGCCCCGCCTCTTATCGCTGAGTCCAGCTTCCCTCACCGAGGCGAGCACGGCCACACCCCTTATTACCGGCTTAGTTCCCTTATGGGGACATTTCTCTTTCCGAGTCCAGCCGATACAAGTCCATTCCCGCTCGCAGCCAGGATATACCTGTGTCTCCACTCCCAGGGTCCCTCCGGCCAGGGCTTATTTTGCCATCTCATCTGGTCCCACCTACTCTTAATTCTCCACCACAAGCATTGTTTTTACTCCCAATCTCTTCTTCCCTTCGAGCCCCTCCATGATCTCCATCCCTTTTCACTACTTGAAAGTTATCGTCTCTTTTCCTCGGAAAAAATGGACTTTAAATAGTTATTTTATTCTTCTCATTGGGGAAAGGGAATAGAAGAAAAGCCGTGTGGAAATCGAGACGTCCAGAGGAAAAATATAAAAGCAAAGAGAAATATGGACGGAGGGAATACATAAACTAGAGATCCAGCCCGCGCTTAGCATGTGGCAGGCTCCAGGTTCAATCACCAGCGCCCCCCAAAAAAGGCAATATTTAATGAGGTTTACTATGTGCCAGGTACTGCACGGTACGTTTTACACAGGTAATTTCACTCTTTCACACACTGGAGTAGATATTGTTATCCCCAGTATTTTATGGAGGAGGAAACTGAAGGCCAACAGCTTGTCCAAGGTTATATAGATAAGAAGTGGTAATGAGAAAGTTTTTAGACTCCAGAACCTTGAACCTTTATCCTATAAACTGCCTTAATTTTAGGTTTTCACACTGAACATTGAACTCTGCATAAATCTACACAAAAGAGGGGAGAAATAGACTAGTCCTCTCCAAAAGACTCAATTGTCCCTCAAGTACCTTAGAACCCTAATTCGGTCTATTAAAAACCTGGCTTCATGGTTAAATTGCCAGAGGTTAAATAGAATGATGGGGTGGGGGGGATTAAACGAAGAATCAAATCTCTCTTATCTGGGAACAGATAAAGTAACTTTATAACTAGTAAGGCATGCTTACATCAGAATAACTCTGGCCCTGCCTCTGATCCGGGTTCCCAAAGGAGAGGAAGCGGGGCGCGGGGCGGGGAAAAGCCATTCCAAGGAGTAGACTAGAAGATTCGCTTTTATTCAGTTTCTCAAACTCTAACATGTATCAACTCAAATATTAGCTTTCCCATATCCCACACGGAGGGAGTTTTTTTCCCTGAGCCCCAGCCAGAGATTCTGAGTTCAGAAGGTTGGGAGTAGAGCTCATGAATTTGCATTTCTTTCCTTTTGGGGTGGGGGAGTGTCTAGGATTGAACCCAAGGCCTCAAGCATGATGTATGGCTGAGCTACATCCCCATCCCTGATTTCTCCTAACAAATTAATAGGTGATGCCATTGCTGCTGCTCTGCGTACCTCCACCTAAAGCCATTTTCACCCAAACCTAGCAATAATTTAATGGTAACTACCTTATATTTAAAATACATATTAAGGGCTGGGGATGTGGCTCAAGCGGTAGCGCGCTCGTCTGGCATGCGTGCGGCCAGGGTTCGATCCTCAGCACCACATACAAACAAAGATGTTGTGTCCACTGAAAACTTAAAAAAAAAAAAAAAAAAGAATACTTTAAATTTACAATTGGCTTACCAGGCTATAACCCTATTGAAAGTCAAGAAGCATCTGCATTTGAGATAATGTACCCCTCCAGAAAATTTTACAAATAAACCGAAAAGGCTTTGCACTATCCTTAAGTACTTTAAAAAAATAAATAAAATAAAAAAATAAAATACATATTAAAAGGAAGTAAAATCCCTTTCTGGTCCTATGGGAATTTAAATCAGAGCTTCAAGGAACAGAGAACATGCTAACTAGGCATGCAGGAACCAGTGCACAATAATCTTGGTCTAAGACTATTCAAAATGGTTTCCCTCAAAATGCATTTGTACCAGTTCTCAACCTCTTGGCCATTAGAAAACATATTGATAATGAAATATGTGATGAAGCCAACTAAGTTGGGCTTTCACTTTGGCTAGGTATAATCCAACCAGCAAATCACTGAATCAAGCCTGTTTTCTAGCAGTCATAACCAGAATCTCCTTGAACATCTCAAGTCCTAAGCTTGGTCCGTTTTCCTGCTTTCCCAACAGAAAAACTTACCTCATCCAATTGTCACCATTAACATACCAAAACCAAACAAAGTTGCCTTCATTTAGACAGCTGAAAGAACAAATGATTAACTTTTTATTTGGCTGTAGATTTTTTTAAATTTTTTCCCTTGAAATGCTTGTGTTATCTGATCATTCTCTGGACAAGGACATCCTATTATTATATTGAACGTGGAGCTACTCTTTGTTTCTTCTCTCTGTGCCTGTATAGTAATGATATGTCTAACAGACCTTGAAAGTTATAGAAAAGGATTGTAAGGGTAATTTTAGTTCCCAAATGCCTGACATATGGTGACATACTCAACTGATATCAAAGGCAAACAGATTTTTTTTTTAATAAGGTCAGTAAACGAATATCATGTAGACAGTTAGAATTGCAAACAAACACATACCAGTGGTAAGCTCAAACCAGGTTTGGATATTTTATGTCAGGTACTCCTGGATTATTTGTACAGTGACTAGAGGTTTCTAAATGATTTCAGTTTGGAGTGGAAGCAAGAGCAGAGGTACCCTGCCATATAGTTAGAAGGCTAGAAAAGACCCTTAGAACATACATTGACCCTGGAAATGTAAAAGCCAAGCCTAGTAGCACATGCCACTTTGGACAATTAGAAATTTGAGGACAGCCTGGGCAACTTAGACCCTGTCTCAAAATATAATAAGAAAGGGTTGGGGATGTACCTCAGTGGTAGAGGTAGAGTGCCCCTGGACTTAATCTTTCCAGTACTGCAACAAACAAATACCCCCCCCCCCCAAATTTAAAAAACCCTCTTCATCTGCAATGAAGTCTACATTTCCAACCTATTAAAACAACAAAAAAAAAACAAACATGCAAAAACTTTAACAACTGGAGCAGTTATCTCTATATCAAACAACCAAAAATGTCTCTGCCTGGAGTGGAAAACAGATATTTTCAGCAGAGGCATTTGGAAATTCCATTTAGAAGGTCAGGCATAATTGTAAGGTGAATTATTTGGTTTGGTACTGGGGCCTGGGGTACCTTATCACTGAACTACACCCCTAGACCTTTTTATTTTTTTAAATTTTGAGACAGGGTCTAAGTTGCTGAGGGCCTTGCTGAGTTGCCCAGGCTGGCCTCGAACTTGTGATCTTCCTGCCTCAGTCTGCTGAGTTGCTGGAATTACAGGCATTCACCACTGCGCCCAGCAGAATTAATAAATGTTGAATACAATAAACCATAAAAACCACCACTGGATTTTTGCATTTGTAAAGCAAACATCTCATTTGGAAGGCACACATTAATATCTCTTGCCAAGTTGCTTGCAGTTTTCTAGAAAAATTTGTCTTCCTTCAGAGGATCAAAGTCCAAACTTGGCCCAACATTACCACCTAGTGGTGATATATTCATAGCTCGTCTCTTCAACTAAAATGGGTTCTTCCCAAATTACTAGTGTGAAAAACTGTTAACAATGTAAATAAATAATGGAAAAGAAACATGAAAAGTTCAAATGTAAATTAAAATCTTTATTGAATAAAAATGTTTCAGACTATGAAAGATGGTAAGAAAGCAGATTATTTTACATATCTAAAAAATATTAGAGCTAAATCTCTATAAATGCAGTAAAAAGAAAAGGCTATATCTTTAAAACACCTTTCACTCTCATACATACAATTTGGAATATCAATTATGTACAACAAATCTTGTAAAGTTTATAATGTTCTAAAGCCTTAATACTAAAGAAAACCATCCCAAGAAAAAGGCCTAGGGTTGGTTTAATTCAACCTGGGAATGTTGTCTGCAATAAAAATCAATGCACTTCAGAGCTGATAAGTATTAAAAAATTATTGCCTCAGAAAGGGGATATCAGAAGTGAAATACAGGATTTGGAGGTCTGAGCTCATGTCATTTAAGGCGGTTCTTTCTGTTATTCTTCTTCCTTTTGCATGGTGAACAGTGATCAATAGTTCTCACAAAAAAGATGCAGCTTTCAATGAATTGTGAGAAACACAGATACCACCAGGAAAAAAAAAAAAGCAATCACTTGGGGTGTAATCAAACTCATTGGCAAATACATAACTTATTTGGAGACAGTGGATCTCTCCAGGCACCAAAGCATGTAGGTTGGTTCTTTATTAGTCTCAAAAGGTGCTCTGAAAAGATGGCTGTAATGTACCTCAATAATTCAATTCCAGATTTAGAGCAGGATGTAAAGCAAAAAATTCCCCACATATATATGAGAGTAAGAAAATTAACCTAATTTTAAAAAAAGACTAAATATTTGATCTCTTAACAGTAGATACTAAAAAATTGATAATTGTTAAAAATATACAACTACGCCCTTTATGCTAAAGTGCATTTAATCATAACATGTCAGTCCCTAAATTCCTTCTGTATATTCTCTAATTCCACAATAGGATTTGTAGTGTAAAAATGTATACTAATCATCCATTTACTTTAATATTGCCATTTGGTAATACAATGGAATTTGGACTAGATCACTTGGAATATTTCCCTGCTTATAAGCATTTATGCATTTTGTCACTATTAAAGTGAAAGATTTAAGTAATGTTATTTCTAGTGTTTATAACTGGTTCACTTAAGCAGCAGTATGGGATTTTTTTTTTTTTTTTTTGGTAGCAGAA